CTGCAGGGGGGGCTTTAGGGGTTGAGGACAACTGGGGACACAAAAGGGTAGCGTGCGCGCAGTAGCATTGGGGAGTGATTGTTCAGCACGGGCGTACTGCGATTATTTTCTCGAACGACCATCAATCCAAGCGGCATGCGTGTGCTCCGCAAACTCCCAGATGCTTAGGTGCACCCCTTTCCCCTCTCCTGACACGCAGCAGACTCACGAGTTGTGCTGAAGGCTGATGGCGCCCAAACAGCTGGCGCCTGGTTGGGGCAGTCTGCGGTGCCAGCGGCAGCGAGGGCAGAAGTGAGAGGGGCCGGAGTCGCTGCCGCATTTAGCTGCAGCAAACACCGAAATGCTTTCTGTGATGGTGATGTAGCCAAGGGATATTGATAATCAGCAGGCCTGCGATGCCCTACCCCCACCAACCCGCACCACACTCACCTGCCATCTTGGCAACCACCCTGCCGGGCACAAACGATCCCGCCGCCGAGGCAGCGGGCGCCGTCGCGGCGCTGCCGTTCCGTAGCCCGGGCTCGGGCGTGCCGGCCTCCTGGTGAGCACCCGCGCCCCGCGCCCCGTCAGCGGGAGAGTCCGCCTGCTCACGCGCCGAGGCTGCCTTGACGTTGCCTGCGTCTGGCTGCTGGGCCGCGTGCGTCGCCTTCTCACAGTCAAAGTTGGGTTCGTCGTAGTTCACGCAGCGCCTGGCCAGGTTGAGCCTGAGGTTCGCCGCAGAGGTTTGACCGGTCAATACTCAGGAAAGTTGTGGGTCCAAGGATTTGCTTCCATGGGCGAAGGCGCCAAAGATGCGTCCTAGTACCTCCCGTGGGGTGCAAGCAGGCCAGCCGAATTCACAACACTGTAGCCTGCTAGTAGTCTCAATTCATTTGCTTTCCGCATCTGAAGGTTCCTTGAGTGGTCAACAGGCTGCCGCATACCTGCAACACACGAGACGGGCGGCCAAAGCGGCTCATGCAGGTGGCCATGCACTCACAGGCCCGCTTGGTAGAGGGGTGACGCTGTCTTGTCGACACACACGCGTGCCATCAGGTGAGTGAAGCAGCCCGACTTGACGGCCTGAAGGGGGGCGGCGAGGTCGTGGGACAGATGCTGTTTTGTTGCTGATGTGTGTAGCGCACACAATGCAGCGCCTTGTGTTGCACGCACAGTCACTCAATCACACACGCACACACACTGGCTGACACAGCACCTCAAGCCTCTGAGTTTCAGGTCGTCCTCCGTGATCCATGCTGCCATTGACACCCCTCACGCCCCCTCTTTCCAAACAAACTTTCATCCACATACCACCGTGCGCCCCTGCACACGCCCACCTTGTGCACGGCCTTGGAGCAGTGGGTCAGGCAGCAACCGTCGGTGGTCGACAGTGACGTCATCTCGGGGTCCTCTGCGTCCTTGTCTGAGTCAGCGGCACACCTCCCCATGAACTTCTGGACTTGGGCCTGGCAGCCGGCGGGGAGCGCCGCCACCAGCCTGTCGAGTCCTGCCAGAGACTTGGCTGCGGGGGAGGATCGGCAGGGCGGCGAGTGGCGTTTCGAGGGGAATGAAGGCGGGTCCTAGGGGTGCGCGGTGATGCAGTGACCGTTGGGGGATGAGAGGCGCTGCGCGTGTCAAACAGCGTTGTGTGCTTGGGAGGCGCTCGTGTGCTTGCTGAGTTATTTGAGCAATTAACGGGCACCAAGCTGTGCAACAAAGTTCTGCCCCTCCCCACCCATGCGAAGGGGCGCCGCACCACTGTGGTTGAAGGCCTGCGGGTTCCACGGTACGGGCTCGTCAACCGTGCAGTCTGGGGTAGGCAGAGGGGAACGGCAGGGTCCAAGGAACCGTAAGTGGCGTATGATCCGTCTCTTGCAAATAGCAGTCTGCGATTGAATGCAGGCCCCACCTGCCATCCCTGCCACGCCGACCAGCGGCCAGCGCGTTTTCACTGCGCCTTTGCCCTGGCCGCCTCACCTTCCCAAGCAGACACCACGAGGTGCGGCTTGCGCCTGCGCACAGCGTCGAAGCGCTGGCCGCCCGGCGCGCCCCAGGGGCGGCTGTTCTCCTTGTCCCCAAACGCGTCGCTGTCGCCGGCAAGCCAGTCGTCATTGCTCCCGAAATCATCATCGTCATCGCCATCTCCGCCGGCGCGCCGCGCCTCACCACGCTGCTGGCGCTGCTGCCAAGGCTGCTGCCGCTGCTGCTGTCGCTGCTGCTGCTCCCAAGGCTTTTGCTGCTCCTCGTCCTCCCCGTCGGGCAGCACACCCGGGCTCTGCTGCAGCTCGTGCACGGACTCGAACAGGGACTGCTGCTCTTTCAGTGACTGGTCCCAGGATGCCTGCTGCTCTGCAAGCAGGTCCTGCAGCGACTGCTGCTGGCCCCGACCCTGCTGCTGCCGCCGCTGCTGCGCCTCGAGCCGCTTCTGCCACCCCTCCTGCTGGCCCCGCAGCTCGGCCTGCTGCTGTTGCAGCCGCTGCTGCCACTTGTCCTGCTGCTGCTGCAGCTGCTGCGCGAGCCGCGGCTGCGCCTGCTGCTGCTGCTGCTGCTGCTCCTGCTGCTGCAGCTCGTCCTCAAAGCGCCGTCGCACCTGCTGCAGCTCATCATCCCACTGGGCCTGCTTCTGCTTCAGCTGCGCCCTCTGATCATCGAGCTGCTGCTGCCACTGGGCCTGCTGCTGCTGCAGCTGCTGTGCCCACTTGTCCTGCCATTGCTGGCCCGCGTCGGCGTCAGCGCCATTGTCGGACTCTGGTTTGGGCGAGGGTGCGGCCAGCTGCTGCTTGTCGGTGGCGTCGGTCGCGGCGTCGTCGGCCGAGTCGTCGCTGGTGCCACGCATCTGCTGCTGCTGCTGCTGCTGCTGCTGCTGCTGCTGTGGCTGGCGCAGCAGGTCGTCTGAATCAGCACTGCCGCCCTCGTCAGCATCCTCCTCCCCAAGGGCGGGATCGTCAGTTGAAATCAGATCCTGCGGCCGCGCCGGCGCCGCCTCCCCAGCTTCCGCGTCGCCGCTGCGACCCCCTTGCTGAGGCCGCTGCGGCGCGCGTGGCAGGAACGACAGAGGCGGGGGCTGCGGCTTTTCTCCGCCGGTGCTGCCGCCCTCCTCGCCCGCCTGCTCGGCGGGCGGCTGCTGCCGCGGCGCCCGCGTGGGCGATTCCAGGCTGCTGCCAGACGCAGCCTGCTCGTCCGCATCGCTGTCGTCGTCGTCGCTGTCGTCGGTATCCTCGGACCCGTCCGAGGCAGGGATTGACGGGATCGAGGGAATGGAGGGGGTGGGAGGCAGCTTGGGCCAGAGGCTGCTGAGCCAGGCCAGCCAGTCGGGCACCTGGGACTCTTCGCACATGCCTGCGATGGCAACGGCGGCAAGGGGTGGTTCCACATACATTGAGAACCCCTCTTCCCTTAGTGCTGAGTGAGCTGCGCCCACACCCGCAGAGGATGGTGTCCCTCACCCGACTTGCATGCAAACACGAAACCCATTGAGAACGGCAGGCTCCTCGCTCACCCGCGGCGTGGCAGACTTCGTCGGGGCGAGCCGCAGACGTCTCATTCAGCAGCGGCGCCAGCGGCCGCACAACGCCCGCACAGTTGAGCTTCGCCTTGACTAGCGGCTCAAGAATGTCGATGCTGCGCTTCAGCGCGCCGTCCAGCAGCGCCGCGGCGGCGGCGGCGGCGCCCTCCGGCGTCGCGCCGCTGCAGGACTCGAGCTGCGCCTCTTGGGCGGCGAGCGCGGCGCGCTCCTGCCCGAGGCGGCCGATGCAGGTGGTGCACAGGCGGGTGCGGGCGGCGGCGCCGCAGAGCTTGGCTGCGGGACGGCGCGTGGGGCGTGTGGGGTTTGAGGGCGGGCGACAGGAGGTGAGGGGGCGCTGTGCCTATGAAATCCGAGGACCCTGGGTTTGCCCAACTAACGCATCTCTCGTGCGTCCCCGCACCACGGCTTGTCTCAGCGCAGGCGGGTTTGTTTGCGGCCCGGTGCCCCTCACCTGCTGTGCATACATCTTCAACGACAAAGGTGGCCGCGTCCTTCACGCCCGCCAGCGCCTTCTTGGCCGCGCACAGCCCGACAGCGTCGCGCGCCGCCGCCTCGACGGCCGCCCCGCCCGCGCCCGCGCCGGGGCGCGCGGTGGGTTCAAACGCCGAGAGGGCCGACGTCAGGTTCAAAGCGCCCGAGAATATCCTGTCGACGTCGACGGCCGCACAGGTGATCTTGGTGAATGTGCAGCTGCCGGCGATCCACGGGAACAGCATCGAGCTGCCGCTCCAGGCGCAGGTGCCGTCGGCCTGGCAGGGCACGCCCGTATTTGGGGCGGTTGCGCAGGGGCCGGGCGGGGCGCTCAGACGTCGCTTGAGGCAGGAGGGTGCACGGCAGCCGGCACAGTAGCCGCATACATTCCAGCGTTTGCACCGAGGCAAGCACGCATGGCAGCTGCATGGCCCAGCCCCAGTTGATGGTGCCCGTCTGTTGCGGAGGCAAGGCGAATTGGGCGCAGCTCACCAGGGCGGGCAGCAGGTCGCCGTTGCACCTTTCCTGGCTGTAACCGCAGCACGCGTCGCCGCTGCCGCGGCAGGGGTCCTCGAAAGCGGCGCCCGCAGCGACAGCGCAGGCGGGGTCCGCGCCGCACGCGGCCGCGCCTGGCTTCTGCAGGCACTGCAGGGCGCCGGCGGGGACGCACATGCCTGGGGTGTCTGAGTCAAAACCGATCTGGAGGCTGGGCCACCTGACGGCGGTGAAATTTGGTGTGGATGCATCTGTCAGTCTCCATCTCCATCGGGTGCATGAGAAGGCGTGATTTTCGAGCGCGATTTGCGGCGTCCAGCAGCCAAGGTTCTGCCTTGTTTAGCACATCCAGCCGCGCCGCTTGCGTGGGTTTCACCAGCGCTAGGGAGAACATGCGCCCGCCGCAAACTTTGCAGGTGTGTCCAGCAAATTTAAGGAGCCGCAGGACGAGGAATGAACATGCGCCTCACCACCACTTGTTGAACATGGTCGAGTTGAACACCGGGTCCCAGAACCCCTCCCCGCGGTACGCCAGCTCAGCGAGGTGCTCCGGGGGCGGCGCCCACACGCAGCCAGCGGCGTCGGGGCCGGAGCACTCCTGTGCATGCGTACGGGCAGCCGGGGCGTTGCAGGAGTCATCGGCGTGCACCCAACAGCTGGGGTCGCCGCGGCCGTTGCGGCGTCGCGCAACAGCCGGAGGCGCGCAGAGTGTCTTGCGAAGGGGTGCATGCATGCATGCGCGCCCGCCCACCCATCAACCACACGGACCCTCAAAGCCTCATCCAAACAACCCGTGCACCCACAACACACCCCCGCGCCACCTCGGCTTTGGCATCCCGCCCCTCAAGCTACCGGGCCCCACGCAGCGCGCGCGCACCCCGCTGGTGGCCTTGGCGAGGCAGCGTGCGTCGTCGAGCGATGCCGCCTCCTGCGCTGGCACGCAGACGGGCTTGTGCACACAGCGCGGGCCGGCGGCGGCGCCGCAGCAGGGGTCCTTGGACAGGGCGCAGAGGTTGGAGGCAAGGGTCTTGCGGCCGGCGACCGGGCAGGGGCCTGCACGCAACCGAGGGCGGGTGGGAGGAGACAGGCGGGGCCGGACGGGCGGGCGTGTTCAGGGGTGTTGAGGGGGGCGTGGGGTGGCAGCACTTGGAGAGGTATTTGTGTGTGTGTGTGTGTGTGTAGGTGTTTGTGTGTGTAAGTGTGTGTGTGTGTGTGTGTGTGTGTGAGAG